TTTTTTTTTTTTTTTTTTGTTGGGCAGTATTGTAAACCAAAATTGTTTGTTTTCTGTATTTATTTTGATTTTTTCTTATAGATCATGCGTTTATTATAATATTAGTGTTGAATGCATTGAGTCAATACCTAATGAAATATATAATATAACGATTTTAAAATCTTCTAAAGAGCCATTAATAACATACATTATAACAGACTTGTTTTTTGTACATAAAACAGATGCTCCAAACACTTGGTCCTTTTTTTGTATTCAGAAAATATGAACGTTAAAACGCGGATCAGTTAATTTGAACATAATGTATTGCAACAAACAAAAACCACTAAATAATTGATGTAAAAACATGCTATGTAATAAACAATAACAATAATAAAGCATTGACCTTGTTCAACATAAAATATATATCTCTATTTATATATATGAATTACTGATATAATATGTGGTCATTGAAATTCAACTGATAAAAACAGATAAAATAAAATAAGATTTAATACAAAAAGAAAGAATATATATCATTTATATATGTTACAGAACACTATTATTCATCAATTTATTTTTGAATTTACTTTTTCAGATATTACGTATTTATAAGTGTAAACGCTAATTCAATAAACGAATAGTAGATCAATCAGTTACATGGCGGTATTAATAATTTTAGAGTAATTGCTGGCAATTCTTCCATTATTAGATTGTGCTATTGATAGGATTATCAAAAATATCCCAACTATTATATATTTATCAAAAATTGAAATATTATGACACTTTTGACTAAAATTAAATGATATTTATTTTTCTCATATCAAGTTTATTTACTGTTTATTTCATATCGCTCATTATTATTGTAATATTATATTGTCTCTCTAGGCCTTATAGTTTTTTTTTTGAGTTTAAGACAATAAATACTGATGTCTATTTACTAATTTTAAATGACAATATTTTCATAGTTTTCGTTTATTCTTATTAGAATTTTTTTTTTCAATTGATATTCACAACTTTTTAAAATTATATTATGTAAAAATAAAAGAGTAATATTTTTGATTTCAACTTATTTTAGTTTTAAAAAATTCAATTTTTTAACTTCAAACTAATAAGGCTTTTACAAGATCAAATCATTTCAACTACATGAATCTAGTTTTATTAGATGTAGTCCTATTACTCATCAGTGCAGTTTGAAGTTAATCATATTTTTAAAAAGCCCCAAGTGAATTAGAATTGATAAAGTAAAAGTATCGAGTTCTTTTAAAACTAATGGTCTGATTTATTATTATGAAACACCTGGGTTAAGTTTAATTGCAGACTGCTGTCATTTCCTGAATGACGAAAACTGCTTGATGTGCATACTGTAGAAAACCGAGGACTGTTCAAAAGGGAGGAAATCACTCACTCCCACATCCTGATCGGAAGTGTTGTGGAACGTGCCATATCTCTAAGCACACGCGTTTTGAACACAGCTGCATTGACTGCGGTATACTCGAGACACTTCCTTTTACTTTTTTTCTTAAACTTCCCCTGCAAAACAAAAAACCCAAAATGTGATATACTATATGCAGTATGCCTCTTTTCGCTACCATCGACACGCTGTGCTATGTGTATGCTTGTTCCGTTATTAACAACGTCGTGCATCTGCCCTGCCGCTTGGTGATTTCAAAACACGTGCCCGTCACCTTTCAAAAATTACAACTACCCCTACAACAAACAACCCCTTAGTACCCATATAGAATGCAAACACGAGCGTAGGTAACCATATGATGTATAAAAGCGTAGGAGGCCTTATTATTGTTACTCAGTATTAGTTCGGTCGGCGTTGAGAAGTTTTCTAGTGACTATTATTTTAAACATCAACTATTTTTAAGACTTACAGGTTGTTGTAGGCGAATCGCGAAGGTTGCAGTTATGACTATGGTATGTACTATCGAGCAACATTTTTTTTCAATAATACTATTTGCAAATTAACTGGCGAATCATCCTCACGTTGGAACCTGTCTTATAACTCTTTCTATCTTTATTGAAGCTTCATGAATATACCATCACAATTGAATAGAAATATGTATTTGAATTTATTTTAACATAATAAGCATTTATTTATTCGTGTTGCTTTATAATAGTTTGTATTTGGGTAGTGTTTATTATCAGATATACATGTATACACATACATTTTATTCCAATAATAAGAACTATTAACAAATGCGACTAGACGATGATCGCATAGGTATTGAACATCCAAATGCTGTTTTTGCCTTTTATTTGTTTCACGTATTAGTGTTGAGGTATCATTAGTTAATATGAAAATAATTATTAACGCAATGACTATTATTGGAATTATGTATGAAATTATTATTTCTGTTTAGGTTTTGGCTAGGATGATGGCGCCCAAATTGCAAGAGGAAAATATTATCAACAACAACAACAAAGGTGATAATCCTAAATTCAAACTTAACATAGAAGATTCCACTGCTGTGAACGGCGGCAATACGGATTCCAACTCGACAAATAACAGGTATTTTGTTTAGTTATACTTGTGCGATAAATCACGTACCTAACGATTATATTGTTATGTCTTTTAATAGTCAGTTTTCGAGTATGTCCGAAGAGGAAAGCTACGAGTGTTACGGAGAAGGAGACAACGTCATGGATACGTCATCACCTATAATTAGTGTTAAGTAAGCTGTGATGTGGCTAATGGAATTTAGAATTTTTAATTTTAAATTAACTTTTTCAATATTTTCCTTAGCGGCATTGAAAATAATAATCCAAACCAACTGGGTTTAAAAAGGAATACGTGGCTAAGAACTAGTTTGAGGAGAACTAACGGAAACAAGTAATAATCAGTTATTATTAATTATGTCGGTTATACTAACTGATTACAATAAATTTCCTATTTGGAATTTTAAAAAAGCTAATTTTATAATTACTGCATTTAAATAATGCAATTGTAGTTGCACTTCAGACAAATTACCTTGAATTTGTTGTAATTATTAATTTTATTTTTTCTAGTACTGAAGTGTTACCTAACAGAAAATGGGGTTCTATGAGACATTCGTAAGTATAAATTTCCATACTAAATTATCTTTTAGAGTAGTTATCATGGGATAAATACCGTTATCATTGACGGCATAGAGAAACATTATATTTTTCGTGACTACGTTGTGACGCGATATTTGCATTGAACTCCAAATGTGCTTGGCATTCGTACGCCAATGATTTTACACACTTTCTTGGTCGTGGTTTTAACTACGTCCTACTTAAAAAAAAAATTCTTATTCGAGGTTGACTTACGAGACAAATGAGATTTAACGTGTTATCCTTATAAACGCATTTCAATAAAATCACATATTAGCTCCAAATATTTTACTTTTATGGGTTTTTTTCGCTATGCTTTTTTTACAGAAATTTATTTGTGCATGATACGGCTGCATTTAATGCCGTTTATTTGTGTTTAATAGAACTATTTTACCTGTACAGTGTGTATTATTAGTATATAAAATTCTACAAAATGAGTAAGTAGGTAGGTAAAATCATTATATCAATTTTAATTACCTCCGTTGAATTCGATACGAACACTTGCCAGTAATTTTTTTACATCTAATTACTGATAATGTGTGCGGCGCCTACACATACGAGTTCTTTACTGAAATTAAAGTATTAAAAAATAGTTGTTATTAACCGTTTAGTTGAAAACAATAATAAACCTTTTTAGTTATTTATTGAGTTACAAAACATTAAATATAATCCGTCGTCTATTATTAGTTTTTTTATACTTTTCTTGTGCTTGTTATTATGTGTTATTAATTTCAACCCTATTGTGAAATTTTACTGTGTATAAAAAACATGTTTAATTTAGACAAAATTGTAATCACTTTTTCTATTGAAAACGCATACTAACTATTATACAGGATATAACTCGTCTGCTCAGGATAAATCTGTATCATTGGATGTAAATATAAATTGTATCACCAAAAATCATAGCAAAAAAATCTTATTAGTATTTCAGGATGAAAAAATATAATCGTTAAATAAATTTTTTTCGTAAGAGGATCTTTAGATTTTGTATTTAAACACATATTGATGCCGAATAGGTATATGATTTTGACTTTGTGATTAAGTAATTACTTTACCAGTTCGAATAAAATATTCTTCTCACTATTGTACGTTATTTAATGAGCATAACGTCTCTGCTTTTTTTATCGCCGGCCATCTGAAAGAATCCTGTCGACATGAGATGTTTATCTCGATTTTGTGTTTGAACGGATATTCTGTTTAAACAATAGAAGGCCGGTTGTTTAAAAGAAAGACAATGTGACGATAATATTATGTGTTATCATTTTATACGATTAGCGTAGGTTGTAAAATTATACAATTTCCGACGATCTGTTAAGTCTGTGATAATATTGTTACAATCATACCCAACTTAAATACTAAAAATTTGTCACGTTTTTACTGTATAATTAGACTATATGTGATGCGTTGCGAATCATCTAGTAGTTCACTTTAGAAAAAAAGTCTATTACATTCTTGCTGATATAATAAGCATTGATTATACGTAATTTAATCGTGTGAAAAACTAAACAGGAAGTCAGAAATAACATACAATATCAATAACTTAGAATATAATTCTCTTTGATTTAATACAGAGTATTTTTATACTCTTATTGGGTCTCCGTTTATTTTCGGTGACTTTTCATTATAGCTCTGTTGCACGAAGTTGTGGTAACATGTTAGATGGAAATATTTTAGTATCATAAAACATTCTATTAAGTAATGCTCTAACTAGTGAATATAACAAATGTTTACAATTTTGATTTGTACAAATATTCATTTGCCATTGCTACTGGTGTTTTATTATCAATGATAATAACTTTTGTTTTAAAATATAGTATAATTTATTACACCACGAACATCATTGAAGTTATTCTACAGTTAAAATTCATAATCTATTTGATTTTTTTTTTTTATTTTAACTATTATCACGATTGCTTTTTATATGATCATCATTAACTTATATTTATAAATAATAATGAGAGAGACAACTTTTATTTTAAACAAAAATAAAACAGATTGCACTAGTTAATGAAATCGAACATAGGTAATTTATTATGTAACAATTTAGTTAAACGTTATTTATCACTCAGTAAATTACAAACAAAATAAATTCGAATCGTCATGTTTCAAACATCATTACAAAACTTAATTCTTCAATTAATTATGCCATGTTTTGTATTTTTTACCTTTTTGTTTAAAAAATCTAGCAATAATAGTCGTAATTTGTTCCATAAATTCGTTCACTGTCACTCTTAAGTAAAATATTAATACTTTTAATTTTTATTACAAACATTTTTGGGCACAAAAAAAAATCTATGTGAATTCTGAATGTTAACCTCGGTCAAGACAGATTTCCTACGAATTTTCGCCGACATAATACCACAACACATAATGGAAATAAACTAAAAAAAATTCCTTAGCGTCCTTGGGTTCGTTGCCGGTCGTTCAGTTCACCGTGACGGGAATTACCTATGCACTTACAATAACAGCTGTATTAGTTGACTTTAACAGGTATCAATGACGTATTCTTGCTTATACACTTGTGTCTCTTTGAATCGTGAACAAATATTTATTTATGATTTATTCTGTATCGATAAACTTCTCGCGGTTTCTTGTGTAATGTCAGGCACGTGCCTTTACTACTGATAAATATGATTTTTATTGTAACCTAGAGCGTGTGTAAAATACACGAGTGTGTGACCCAGTGTAAAAAAATAACAAATTATAAATAATGTAAAATGAAAGGTGAAACAACCAATAGTGATAGAGTGGAAGTGGTGGCGGTTCGTTGTTGGAATAATAGTCAATAGTGAATGTGTACTACTCAAGTCGGCCCTAAGAATAGTAGTCTCACAATGACACCCCGGCGGTGTTGTTGCTATTCATTGTGGGGTCTAGTGCTATTTCGATTATTACTTATTCATTTATTATTTTTGTAAAGAGATACTTTAATTCAAATAATAAAAGGGATAAAGTTATTTGTATTTTATTATTTCTTTTTATATATAACTTAGTGTTTCTAGTCGAAGAAATGAAACAAGAATATTCATCCTCTTCCTGGAGGAGGTATGTGTCTCATTTTTGACTATTTAATCAATTCAGTTAATTTAAATAAATTAAGACGTTGTCTAAATAATTTATTACTGCTAGTAAAGTGTTTGTTTTTTAATCATAACTAATTATAATGAGCGGTTAATGATAAAAATTTGATGTAAACCAATTATAATTTTGCAAATTTTAAATTGGGAGCTATTAAACATTTTATATTAAACAAATTGGTGTGTTTAAATACCAATATACCACAGTTTACGTATAACATTTCTTTAATTTCAGACAGTTTAGTTTTATAATAACTCAATCCACGTGGGAAACTGTTAAATAAACTAATGTGTTCAGGAAACTATACATTTCGTTTAACAGCCATTTCCCTTAACGGTCACTATAACGTTAAACATTTCACATGTTCCATATGCATAGTATTTCTCTTTGTCAAACTGATGATGGTTTTTTTCACATGTATCCTGATCATATCACTGAATACTTGGAATTACCGAGCGTTTTCTTCGACAAAAGTTAAATTGACCGTTAATTAATATTAGTATTAAATTTTGTTGTATATATTTACTAAGTAAATATCAAGTCTTGATAAATAATACAATTTTAGAGTTTAAAAGTCTACAAACCCAATTTTAAAATTGAATGAAAATGTTGAGAATCTTTTTTTTTTTCATTATGTTGATAATCTCGTTTGAATGTAATTTTTGAGTTTCAGCTATTTTAGAAACATAGTGTATAATAATTAATTTCATATTTTCCTTGTCATAAGCGCTAGTTTTTTTAATAATCAATATAACTTATTCTATTTAACATAAGGTTCGTATCCTAACTAATTTTCGAACTTGAAATTTTCTAAAATTAGATGCTATTCGTGTTTTAAATACATAAATTACATTTATGTGTTTAATAATGTTCAAATGTAACTTGATAGAATTTTATAAATTGTTTGAATTCTAAATATAGTTTTTGAAAAAGCTCGATTATAAAAAAGTAATTAATACAATCTGATTTTACTTTAGTTAAAATTTATTCTTGGTTCTTCGCTGGGTGTTATGTTTTAAATGAATTTTAAACAGCAAAAATGTCCAATTTTACATTAGTCTTATGGGCCATTTTAAACGTTTTAAATTATCTATTTATGTTTTAAATAGTTTTTTTTAACATTTAAAACATAAATAGTAAATTTAACAACCCTGGTTTCTTTGCCTAGACTGTCTAGACATACGAAAAGTAGATATTTATTATAATGTTTCCAGTATTTACAATACTACTCATTTTTTTATTGCATTAGAATACTGAAGGCTAAATCGTATTTGAGCAAATAACACTGAAAGTATTGATAATCATTTAATGAAAAACACATTTCTCTTTAATTAATACAGTTATTATATTATGGTATCCCATACAACAATCTGTATCATAAATTACATACGCATACTTAGTTAATTAAATGTTGTTTGCAATCAAATTTTTAATTACGAGCATAAATACAATTATTTCTTGCTATCTATTGTAAGTAATAACATTTTTTTAAATTTAATAACTACCATTAAATAATTTACTCGCTTGCGTACTCTCAAATGTTCAAGCAAGTGCACATAATTCGCAGTAGCGTGTAGCAATTACAAGAATGATAGTACTACATGTTTTTTTAGTGGTTATTGGAAGCTATTTTACACATGCAAGAAAGCTACTTTCCTTATTTTTCTTTTATTATGTTAATGAATAGATTCTGTTCCGTTATAAAACCACCATGTTTATGATATTTTTTAATACTTAAAATTACAGATTTAAGACGCATGATACTGTTGTATTGTATATTTGTTAGATAATAGGTATAAATATATATATATATATATATATATATATATATATAATTTTTTTTTATATTTTGTTACAGATCGGGCAAAAGGATCAGCTCTAATGCTCTCGCTAGGTAATGCATTACAAACAATGCTTATATTTTTTATGTATTTATATTTATATTTTATTCTATTAAAAAAAAAAATTGTTTTTCTATTTTCGTACTTAAACATAACTAAATGATATTTACTGTACAAACATAATTTATATGATTTTTTTTTTTTATATATTTTAACATTTTGTTTTATTTTCCAGTGAATTGTATCGAAGCTCTAGTTTTAATTCATCCGGTCGCAGTTCTATTTGTGATACTCCGGACGATGTTTACTCGGACACTTCTATTGAAGAGGATGTTCACGACCTCAACAATAAGGTAAGATTTCTTTATTTCGTCCCCTTTCCTAAGAATACTCGGTATATCTTTTATGAAAAATTGTGAAATTTTGTCTTAATACGAAAAAAAAATCTACCTATTTTAAGGGTAAGAGAGCTGTGGTTCATGTCAATAACCTTATCGCCTTTCTAATACGCGTTTTAGGTATATAGATTGCACATATTATATTCTTTGTGATTCAAACCTTGTACCTAATATTACGGTTTCACTGTAGCTATTATAATAGGTAGTAATAGCATTATATGGACCAATAGCTATTATGATAACTAAAATATAGGTCTCTCTTATATAACTATGTTTTTGATTGAAGATTAAGATAGTTAAAAATATTCTTAAAATTTTATAGAGAAGATTTTTTGTTAGTTATTAAATTAAAATATGGAAAAAATCTATCAATTGACCTTACAGATATTTACATGTATTTTAACTTAGCACAGCGGGATCTTTCTGTTGTAATTATTTTATGTACTAGCATCTGTCACTAAACATTTACGAAATAATAAAACCTTATTGTTTATTTGGTACTATTATAAAAACATTTTTTAAGAAAAACAAATTGAAACAATTTTATTCAATCATTTAGAATACTAGTACAATGTTCGACTAATCAGTCATTCTCATAACAAACAAGTAATAAATTTTTTTGCATACTCACAGTATGTAATTATGTTTTATTTGCTGGTTTATTTTTCTAATGAATGGGAAAATGTTTTTTAATGAAATACAATCATATACCTGATTTATTTTATACGTTATTCAATAGCGATAGCGTCGCGGAGTTTCTCTATGCTTAGAATGCTTAAGGTGTTTAAACTCTAAAGTTTTTGGTCTACCAAATTTATGTATATCCACGATGAACTATTGTACTTCTAGTTGATACATAGGCATCTCTATCCAGTCACTTAATAATTGCTGATAAATGATTGTGCAGTAATAAACACTCGTTTAAAGAGGGGACTTATATATAATCGGTTTTAATTATCTTAACATTCGTATAGTTGCTTCTCTTTAAAACTGATATACTATTCAAATTATTCACTGAACTATATAATATTATTTTGAATAATTTTTAAACAGAAACCGTACCTCTGTTGCAATTCGCGTTGAATCAATTGTAATATTATTCATAAGTTGCGTAATTAATAATAGCCGTGTATTTGTGACACAAATTACATTACGTTGGGAACAATATAGTTGCACGGGTAGAAAAACGAAACGGTGACTTTGATCTATGACATGAACTTGTATGATAACTTTTTGTCATTCGTCCAATATGATGTATAGTATTATTTATAAACTTTCTGAATCACCGCCATCAATTGAAAGCTAGTAACGCTTTCATTTCTCTACTAAAATTGAAGATAAATATTTAATATCGTATATGTTATTAAATAATACGCGTTAAATAATGATGAAAAAGAAAAAAACGAGAGAGAAGAAAGTCCATTTAATTTAATTGTTACTACTGTGGCAATCAGTTCAGATAAGCTATGGGTCCACGTACTCATATCCTGGTAGTTTGTGTTTAATAGTTATAGTGTTGTTGTTAACAATGTCCACGAAAAAGGCGGATAATCTAGATACCAGCCCTGAGCTGGAATTTGATATGTGGGATGGACAGTTTGAATTTGTTGGTAACTCTTTTATGCCTCTAGTTGATCCTAATGATTTAGACTTGCCAAAAGCATGTCGTAATTCTCATGGCCATGTAATCAATAAACAGAAAGTAAAACTAATTTTGCATTTAAAATTATATATATTTTTTATACATATGAGTAATTTTTTTTTTTTAGGTTCAAGTACTACAAAAACAAATGAATGTATTAGCTGACAACCAAACATTAACTGATGAACGTTATGCTCGTACCAAAGAAGAAAATGCTGCTTTACAAGCCCGAGTTCATATGCTTGAGGAGCAGTTACGAGATACTGAGCTTCGTTATGAAGAAAGACTTGCATCTGAAGAACGAAGACATAGAGAGCTTGTTACTCGAGTAGATCGTGAAAAACAATTGCATATTGATAATTGTGCCATAAGGTAAATCTGATTACCATAAATTCTTAAATATGAGATAGTAAATTTTAACTTTTAACAGACTTCAAAATTTTAAAGTGGCAAAAGAAAGTGTACGGCTAGAGGCTGAAAAATATAAGTCAATGTTTGAAACAATACGTAATGAAAAAATTGTTCTTGAAAACCGGGTAGATGATCTTAAACTTAGCTTACAATCTTTCAAAGATGAAATACATATTTTAGAAGCTGAATTAAGAAAACAAAAACAACAAATTAAAGAAAATGAAGAAGTATGTTTTATATTATTAATACTTTATACATAATACATTAATCCATAAAAATCTTATTTGTACAGTTTTTAATGCTTTAATTTATTTTGTTTAGATTATTGAAGGCTTAACTAAAGAAATAGAAGTATCTAGAATAGAAAAAGAAGCTATGGTCACTGAACTTCATTCTCCTTCACCTTATGTAACTGAACTTACTACTCAACTAGAATTTCTTAAACATCAAAATCAATGTAATTTTTTCTTTCAAATATTTTATTGATAAAGTATGTAGGATTTTGTAATTTTATAAATTATATTGCAGCACTAAAAGATTCTTATGATGAATTGCAATCATCTACCATAGCCAAAAGTATAGAAAAAGGAAGAATACTTTTAAATGAATCTCCTAGTCTAGCATCTGAGCTTGATGGATTAACTCATGATGATGTAAGTATATATTATATTGATATTATATTTTGTCTTAATCAAATTTAACAAAAAATAATAAACTTAATTTGTGTCTCATGTAATAGTTATAAATCTTAATGTGTGCATAATTTCTTAATGTGTGTATAACAGCTATGTATGATAAATTGATAGTTAAATTATAAAATGAGAAGAACTTTAAGCAAATTTGCTTAGCATAGTAGTTATTTTACACTTTAACTTTTTTTTTTTTTTGCTTGTTTTCACAGCACAGTCCCTCGTCTTTACAATTAAAAAAGGTAATTTTATTGTTATATCTTTGGGTTAATTTTTGTTAGCAAATTTATTTTTATTGTAAGCTATTCATTCTAACAAAGTACTGATAGTACTACTATGTATGTTTATGATTTTTCTTGTTAACATATACTCACATAATATTAACTAAGGAGTATTCAATACTTTTTTTTATTAATTAAGACATTCAAAAAAAAGTATTTATCTTTTTTAAGTAAATTTATTTTATTTTATAATCACATATTTCTTTTTTGTTTGTTTGCGTTATTAAAAAATGTATAAATTATAACTTTATTTGATTGTGATAGGACAGAATCTGATTTATATTGAATACTTATATAAATGATTTTCTTATCCAAACCAAGAACTATATATTTTTTTTTTTTTGTCATTTTGTCGTCTACAATATTTAGATGAAATCCATATGGAATTTTGACACTAATTACGAATGTGGCTTCAGATTTTTCCAAAAAAAATCTAGTTCTTGAGAAAATTACTGATTAATAGTAAAGTATTTACTAAACAATTAAATCATCATTAAAAACTGAAAACAATTTTTTCTTTTATAATTTGATTATTTATAAAATAGCTATGCAAAATTTAAGGCTTATCCCTTTAGTTTAACAGTTTTAATAAATCATTAAATTTTAGTTTGATGTTCATATTTCAGAAATAAAATTAACTTTTTACTGTAACTATTTTTGGTTTAATCTCTTATTTATTAATTTACTACCAATAAATAGACAGTTTTTCAAGGAATTAAAAAATTAATGTTTTTTACATGACATATAAAGCACAAAAATTTGATTTAGCTAATGACATCTGGTTACTCAGTTATTCAACTAATTAAAAAAAAAAATTATAAAATGTCATACATTATTAATTGCAGAAATTAATAGGTTTAAAAATAACTTTAGAGATAAGCCTCAAATTTTGCATAAATCATTTTTTAAATCATCAAAAAATTATATTAAAAAGGTAAAAAAAAACTATTTCAATATTTTATAATGATGTAACTTATTAATTTTTTCTCAGAAACTAGAAGATTTGATGGAAAAAAACTTCATCCTCTTTTTATTGTCATTATTAATAATTATATTAAAAAAATATATTTTACTCTAAATAGTATTAGCACCACTTGTATTGAGCATTAGTTAGTATTAGTTAAAATAATTTTTTTTTTTTTTTGCATGCATACTAATAACTTTTTTTTACAATAAAAACTACTACATTGGTGGTTTTATTTAAGTCTGAATTTTATATTCTATTTAGACAATTTTATTACAGTATAAGACTTACATAGATATTAGTGCATGTGTTGTATTTTATGCTTAAAGCTTTTACACTAAAACTTTTATATTATAAGCAATAGATTTACAATATCTATTATGATCAACTGCTTATTTTATATTTTTTTAATTTTAGATGAAAACTGCTTTAAAAGATCAACAAGATGTGAATGACCAACTTCGTGCTTATATTGATAATATATTATTAAATATTGTTGAAAATCATCCAGAATTACTTGAAGTAAAGCAAAATTTATAAGTTATGTTCCTAAGTATGGAAATTTTGTTCATTTTATTAAAAACCATTAGTTTCATTATTCTAATTATTATATTAATATTCCCATTGTTTTGAGAATTCTTTACCTATTTATTATTTATATTACTACCCACCTTTTTTTCTTTTATGTTTTAAAGACATTTGCATTTAAGTGTATTATTAATATTTTATTTTCTTGATTATTTGTTAAAATTAATGCAGTGATTTACCAAGTGTAAATATTTTTTTCAATATTTAATTACAGTTGGTAAAAATTTGTAAATAGTAAAATATCTTTCCGTCCAATTGTACATTGTTAATTAATTTTATGTAACTTTTTAGATATCATAATATTTACATAAAGTCCTACATGTTATTGTTATTTTATATATGTGTGCTTATTTATCATAATACTGTTATCTATACAAAGAGACTGTGATGTGGTAATATATTAAGTGGATTTTATTGTATTGAGTATAGTGCCAGATTCACAATAAATATAACAGTATTTTTATAGTTCTACTTGTTTTTCACAAAATCAAAAACCATATCTTTCATAAAAATATTGTAAGTGAGTTAAAATTTCAATTAAGATTATTTTCTAGAAGTATCTTACTATCTCTTATTTTCTTTTTTATAAAATATGATAAAGAATAGTTATAAATATAAATTAATCTGATCTTTATATAATTTCAATAGTGTACACTTGAACATTTTTATTAAAGCTCCCATTAGATTGTAAAATATCTAAATTAAAAAGTTTAAGATAGCTTATTTCAACTAGTTGTTTACTAATTATTATTATGGATTAATGAAGATTATCTATATGACTAATCATATATTAAGTATTCGTAAGACTGAGTAGTAGTCAATAATTATTTAATATCTGTCAATTCAAATATATTGTATTCATTTTTGTCTATAATTACTCTAAATATCATTTCTGTGATAACAATAGTCTACTGTATATCTAATTAACTTCTAATTAGCTGAAGAATCCAGAGGTTTATAATTGTTAATAAATATACATTGTATATTTATTAACAATTATAAACCTTATTATACAATAAGGATTAGATTATTTTAATGAAAATAAAACTGTATAAACTGTTCACAGTTTTCCAAAACTAAATTAAAATGACCTTGAATTTTTAGTTCGATTATAATTAAAAAATTATAAGTATTATGTGTCATTTCATTAAGAAACTGTTTTTTCTTAATGAAATATTAAGAAAAAACAGTTCAGAATAGTGTGAGACTTTTAAAGGATTAAACAAAAAATATAAAATGAATTCTTCTAAGCTTCAAGAGCTAAAATATATATATATATAAAATAATTTTAGATTTATTTATACAAAATAATTACAATTCTTTAAGTTTAATAAAATATAAAAGTATACAACTAGCACACTAAAATCCAAAAAAATTAACTTATGAAATACACAAATCAAAACAAATTTTAAACTGACATAAGTACAACACCTGACATAATAGATAAAATACCACAAGCCCACATGATTGAAAAACTCTCTTCAAACAGTAATATTCCAGCTAAAGCCTAAAATGTATGACAATTACATTAAAACATAACGCCTGATTTAATACAAGATAATAATAATTAAAAATTTTTAATATAAAAAATGGAAATTTCATTAATTAATTTAAATTAATTTTTTTTTTTATCCCTAATAACAAATAATTTTATAACTTAAAATTTATCAACCTTTTTGAATTGATATTGAATTTTATTAGTTTGTGCTACAATTTTACTTATATCTAATAAAAAACTAATTAAATCTACAATTTTTATTTTGAAGCTTGCTCAAAGCTGTATTTAATATTTGGTATAGAGTGGCTACATGAATTTTAGAGCCTCCAATTTTTGTTTAAATCGCCTTTTTGATGAACTATTGACAAACTAAAAAAAACTCAATATTTTATTTTCTATCATCATAAGCTTCTATCTAACTAATGATAATAATCTTAAAGTAAAATATCTATAAATCATAACGATCAATATTAGAATAAAAAATATTTATTGTTCAACTTTGTGTTGACAATATTTATGAAAGTTTTGCTATTTAATATTGAGATTCATCCTTAAGAATTTTTGGGGGTTGTTATTACCATCATAAATAACACCCAGTTTTCTTTATATAAGAATTTGAAAATATTAATTAATGATGAAACTCAATATATTTTTAGAATATACAAAAAATTTATTTAAGGTACTTAATACAATTTTAATAAGTACGTACAGTAAAAATATAATTTGATGCAATACTTATGCCAGTTGAAATAAGAGTAGAACCAAACTGTAATGATCTAGTGTACATCAACCAAACACCAACATTAGACAAAATAACCAAAACAATCATTAAGAATCTCACTATATTGACAATTATAACCTATAATATTACAAAATAATAAAATATACAACTATAAAATAATAACTACATCAAAATATATCAATGACATATTTTGTCAATAATATTGAGAAAATATAATATTATGAAAATGGAAAAATTAAAATTACAACTAGAACTAGAAAACTACAAATTAATTTTTATATTTTTTCACAGAATTAAATTTAAACTTTTTTTATTTAATTTTAATTATTTTAATTTATTCTGAGGAAAAATGGCAATAAGTTCTAACTAAATTATATCCCATTTGGGTATGAATAATAGATTGTTTTTTTAAACTTAATTGAAAATTAAAAGAAAAACACTGCAATAAAACTAGTAGAATAAATAATCCTATAAGTATTATAAAATTATATCACCTAAAAGAACTGATAATTAAAATTCATTAATCTACTTTGAAAGGAGTCTACTACCTGGATTAACTTAATGAGGTATGTATATCTAAAAAAATAATTTCTTTATATGCTCACTACAATTATTATTATTAATGTCTATTGTGGATTTTAAGTGCAATGTTATATAATTTTAATGTCTTCCATATTATGACTATTATCACAATAAAATTCATATAGTATCATACTATATAAGAATGTAGCTAAAAATACATAATATCCTCAAAGAAATATTGATAAAAATCAACAGCATTTAACCCATTAATCATATGTCAGCAATTCCTCCTTGAGGTTTTCACCACATAAAAACTAACACAAACTTTGTCAGCTTTAACAAGAAAATAACCTCTCATAATTCAATTCTTAACAATTTTCATGAAATAATGAACAACAAATATCACAATTATTTTCATATATACAGATACCTCTAATCTAATGAAAAAATTGCTTTTGCCATCACACATCCCTTAAAGGATACCCTCTATAAACTTTCTCTTTTCTCAGTTGAAACCATGAATCTCCATTCAATCATTCAATCAATTATCAATCAACCAAAACAAAATTCTCATTCTTAGTTTCTATGAGTGTAGTTAAATCAATCCCAAATATTCACACCAAAAATAATCTTGCCCAGACCTTTATAAATACAATACTCACAAGCAATAAAACCATCAGTCTTCTGTGGATCCCATCCCACATAGGTTTTTTAGTAATGAACTTGCTGACAAACTAGCATCATCAGCAGCAGAATCTGTCGAGATAGTAATATACCAGCATATAACATATGAAGATGTAACTCATACTCTCAAAGCAAAATGTGAATCTCTCTAAAAAAGATAAGCAACCAACAAATTATGGAAACTCAAACCATCTACAGCTAATTGACCTGAATCTCAAACCATCATAAGCAGATACCAGTAGACTATAGTAACTAGTAACAAAATTTTTTTATAGAATACGCATCAGCTACACTAGACTGACACATTCTTATTTTATGTTTGATGAACCCGAAACTACTTGAGATACATGTTAATGCAAACTCTCAATTACCCATATTTTTCTTGAATGCCCTACTTACAAACAAGCCAGATATACTTCAAACATCTGAACATGTTCATTTAAAGACACCCTAGTAACCAAACAAAAAATACAAATCATTATTTTCCTCAAGACCACTGAATTTGAGTCATTAATTTAAATCAAATTAACTATTCCAAATACACAAAACAATTAAATCTATGTAATATAAATTCTATGAAATAAATTATGTACTCACTTAACACTTGTATCCTATTTATTTTCTATTTTTTATTAATCTAACACAATGTAAACATTAGCAGACTAGAGAGCTAGAATTTGAAGCATATAAATAAATTATAAAAAAAAATGTGATTTTCCATAAGCTAATGTTAATATTAAATATTTTTTAGGGGAACATTATTAAATTTAAAAGTGGAATACAGGGCTTAAATTTGAAAAAGTGTTTATTGTTATATAATTTTTAAGTTTTGTAATGTTATAATACTAATTTCTTTACGTAAATTAAATTTAAGCATAACCATTCTTTTTTAAACATTGCTTTGATTTAAACAAAATATATAATTGACAACAATAAGATATTCACATATATTAATAATACTTCATTAATAAGTAATTCATATAGAATGAAATCTCGTTTAGCAACATAAAGTTATTTTGTTTTAGTATTACAAACTTCTTAAAATAATTTTATAGTACAGTGAAACCTCTATTCAAAGGAAAATACATTTCACCTAATCTAATGACAATGTTTCTATCATTTTTTATATTAAATAGAATATATTATTATATGATTAACAGTATTTTACATTAATTTTTTCCGTTTGTGACCTAACGTTTATTTAAACCTTGATGCAATATATGAAGAAAAAAAGATGCAAAAAGGCTTTCGAGTTAAAAATTGTAGTGTTCGTTTTGGTTCCAAGTTGGTGCTGATTACAAGCATAACTTTATTATCTAATAGGCATTGTGTTTCAAAGTATAGTTATGTAGTATTTTCACACTATAAGAACTTGGCTCAATATTGGGAAACAGTTCAGTAACGAAAATTACCAAATTTTAAAGATTTTTACTAACGTACTTGGTTTTTGTTAAAAATTTTATCCACTACCATTCCAATTTTGCCGAATAATCCGGCTGAAGATCCGCAAATACCGGCAATAGCAGCGTACAACAAATGCTGTAATTGGTTATGGTTCATTTTTTTTTTTAGGTAGTAATAAAAAGATATTAACAAACATAATATTATAAAATTAAAATATGATAACAGAAAATATGATAATAGTTATGTAATACCAGTGTGACAAGACTAAGCGGAATAGCAATACACGCAGCCCTTTTTGAATAATAATAATAGGGATGCCAACTTGTTATCAATCTTGATAACTGTTACAAACTGTTATTGTTACTTTCGAAATAACTGTTTCTTTTATTTTCCCAACAAAATGTTATCTTCGGATAAAACACTTAATAACAGTGATATAACTGTTTAATATGTTAAAATACTGTTAATAAAATAAAATAAATATTTAGTCTATAAATGACTAATATTAAATATTTATAAACAATTTAAATGTAATTACTTAAAATTACTCATAAAATATATACTGAGTGATCGGCTAACGTCTCGCGTAATATCTAAAAAATGCAAGTGTTATAAACAATTATTTTATTAATCATTATGGATCTTTGATTAGCTGTTTTCTACCACCAACCCTTATACTTAGAACTTGTATCAACTTCATATATTCAAATGGCAACCCCATATTTATTGATATATTTTTGTTACTTATTACTTAAAACTGAGAGCGCTTATAGATTAACGACCTATTAAATTTGAATCTGTTATGATTTTTTCTTAATAAACCCTAAACTTTAGAGAGTCGTAGAGCGCTTAATATCGAATAAAATATATTTTTTTTACTAAACTAAATCTATTAGTGTAAAAAAAAATAGGGTTGCCATTTGATAATATGAAGTTGATGCGAGTTTTAAGTATAAGGGATGGTGGTAGAAATTTAAAATATCTTGTGAAACACCTCATCAAAGATTCATAATGATAAGAAAAAAAAAATTGTTTATAACAATTGTATTATTAAAGATAATATGTGAGACATAGTTAGCCGATCATTCTTCATACACACATTATTTATACCGATTATCAAACACAAACGGATATAGGAATCGAAAAAAAACGCCATTTCACATTTATCAAAAATCGCTTTATCTATCATATATCATTTTTCTACCATTTCGTTAAAATTCAATTTCCAAAGAATCATTATTTATTGCAAACCTTAAATTAAACTAGGCATGAAAAACCTCGTATATGCAAAAAATGGAAATTAAAACTGTTTATCTCTAAATTAAAAAAATACGCTACTAAGCGATAGGGTCAAATGGGGTAATTGTAAATTCATTTTGTTTCTAAGAATATATAGCAGATTTTATTTTAGATTAATAAATTAAAAAGTATATAGAGTTTATTAATTATGCGTTTACACAATTTAGAATTTCTTATCACACATTATGAGTCTTGAAAATCAAAAAATGGTCTTGAGTAATACCCTATACTTCGTAAAAATAAATTTAGGACTGATAAACTTTAAATTCATACTTAAATTATTCATGATGACCTTCATTTTTTTGACTAATAATTAATTTTTCAGAGAAAGAATATCTGATTTTTATCGACTATTAAAAAATCAGCTACTAAAAGACGGTTAATTCGTTCTGCATGCTCACGAATACAATGTATGCTGTATACTCATATTTGTGACAAGTATGTTTTCTAATGTTACAAAGATAAAACTTCATGCAAATTTCTGACAGATTTCCGATCAATAAATTTTCTCTGTATATAAGCATTATTATTTAATTGTAAAAATCATAGAGTAACTCTTTAGTAAAACACAGTAAAATTAAAATTTAAGTCCCATCATCCACCAATAATAACAATGTTTTTATAAATTCAGATAAGCGACTGCTAAATGGACACTGGTGCGTCGATAACAAAGTATAAAATAACTGGTTTTGATCGGTAACGAGGGAGCAGCTGAAGGGTGAGGGTAATCGGTTACCGCCGCCCAATAGGAAATTCGTCACGTTAAAAATGTCACTACAGATCGACACATGGTGGTAGACAAAAATTAATTTTTTTGCTTGTTTCGTACTGGACAACTTTTATCAAGTTGATTGAACACCAAAATCTTCGATTTACCACAGTTATTTTCTTCTTTATTATTTGGTAAAGATTTAGGAACACTAACATCAATACAGATCAAATAGAGTTGTTCCTTCCTAAACATGTTTAAAATCATTCTATTTTCTGTATGGCGTGATCTTTAATAAGTTTGGATAAATGTTATGTCGTAGCATTTTTTTGGCAATTTAAATAATTAATTCCCCAACAATTTTAATTATATCTAATGTTTAAACTTAACTAAGTACCAACTACATACATATTACTAGATATTATTAGTTAGATTTTAAACCTACAAAAATATTTACTTGTAACGTGCGTTTCACAAAATACACAAAACGTGTTAAAGTTGTAATATTAAAGTATACTAATTACAACACAATAGTTAGAAATTAAAACTTTCAGTGTATATAATATAAAATTTTTTTTAATGCAATAAAAAATGATAATAAAAATTTTGATGATTTTATTTAATAAAATTATTCGTTAAATATTGTAATTGCTTATAAAATGTAAAAAAAAATTATCTTGGACAAGCTTTAAAACATAAAAAGTAAAATAAATATTATAAAACAAAATGAAATTTTCATCCTTTATTTATAAACAGAGCTAAGAAAAAAGTTAATAAGATAATAAAAAATTAACTAATTTGTTTAATGATAAACAATTACTTATAGCAAAAATTTAAATCAATATATTACAGCATACCAAAATTTTATTTATATTATAATTTAGAATTGAAATTAAAAGATAATAATAATAATAATAGTAAAATTGTCTACCATGAAATATCAGATATGTTGATTTTTTTTTATCAGGATTGGTTATCTTATGTAGATTGCTTTTCAACTATAAATTCATTAATGTAAATTACAATATTAGGCCAGTCAACGAAGGAGTAATTTTGGCGAATGGCGGAAAAAATTCCCAACCAAATTTTTTTTTTTTTTAAAGTTGAATTAAGATATGTATAATGACATACTAAAAGTCCTCATCGATTGGACTTGAGCTTTTTTTTTTACAGCCTCGCAAAAGTTCAAAAATATGAGCTTTTTTAATTTTCTCAAAAAATATTTAACTTACAAAAAAAAATTTCGTACAAAAGTTATTTAAAAAAACAATTTTAAACAAAAAAGGTATCTTATATTTTTTCATTTAAACAAATATTTTTCGAGTTACATTACATTTAATATGAGTACTAAAATTTATTTTCCAATTTTTTTCATTTTACGGTTACTTTTTATCATGTTATACTTACATTAGACAAAATGTTATAAATGCATATGTGTGTATGTGTAAGTTTATTTATTTATAGTATCATTAAAGTGTAGTGTATAATAAGATACAACCGATAGAGTAAGTAATTGATTTGACGCTATATTGTTTAAACCCAACTAAACGCTAAATTGTACATTCCTAAACAACATTTATATTATGTCAATTGCCACCGGAATTTCTGCTAATAATAAAGATAATTGTCATAAAACGGCCTTTAGTCTGGTGCTGGAGGTGGTAAAAGTTGTGGCTGCCAAAAAACAGGGCTTCAATGTTCTATTATATGTGAACATTGCAAAGGTCATTGGTGTACAAATTCAATAGAAATAAAGATTGAAGATTAAGAAAATTGTACTTTTGTTGAAGATATATTCTATCAAAATTTAGAATGGGAAAATGAATAAGAAAATGGAAAAAAATTTTGTTTGATACATTTGTCAAATAAGTTTATAGTGGAGAAATCCTCCATCGATTACATACTTTGCACTAGTAATGCATATAACTTGAATTTAGGATATAAATAAGGAAATAGGAGACCATGTAGTTTTTGTAATAATCCATTAAAATTTAAAAATTAAACACTATCTACAGATTTGCATCAAGGCGTTGTTTTTTGATAATGATTTTAATCATTGTCACATATCATCTATACTGCACCCAATTATACACACTGTGCCGGGACACTGCTGGTTTTTTTTTAAATAGCGATTAGTTGAAATAGTAGCAGTGGATTTACTTTAATTATTTTATTATTAATTTTAACAATAGAAGTTATTGAAGATACAGTTATAACTTTATTTGATCTTTTAAGATCTATATCATGAAAGTTATTATCTACCATTGAGTTTACTAGAACAAGACCAATTTTAGACACTTTATGACAATTAATTTTATCATTACCAGAAATTCTGGCTGGGTTGACAAAAGAGAACATGAGGTAGGTGAAATGAGGAGATCAGTGACAATAAGCGAGAGTGTGAATGGAAGTATAACATGATAAAAAGTAACCGTAAAATGAAAAAAATTGGAAAATAAATTTTAGTACTCATATTAAATGTAATGTAACTCGAAAAATATTTGTTTAAATGAAAAAATATAAGATACCTTTTTTGTTTAAAATTGTTTTTTAAATAACTTTTGTACGAAACTTTTTTTTGTAAGTTAAATATTTTTTGAGAAAATTAAAAAAGCTCATATTTTTGAACTTTTGCGAGGCTGTAAAAAAAAAAGCTCAAGTCCAATCGATGAGGACTTTTAGTATGTCATTATACATATCTTAATTCAACTTTAAAAAAAAAAAAAATTGGTTGGGAATTTTTTCCGCCATTTTTTCTTCGTTGACTGGCCTATATATATTTAGTTTCAAATAAAATATAAAAGAAAATTTAAAACTTCCAACAAACACAACAACAATTTCTGCTAAAAAAGAACCAAACAAAAAGACTACAACATTATAATAAAAGAGGTACTTGAATAACTTGTACCAAAGATTGAATAAGGCGACATAATAAACAGCATACATTTTATAAATGTAATTTATTTTCATAATTACTAATGGCCGATAAATAACAAATAGAAAAATTACTCAACCAAACGGTCTATTAATAGCAATAATTTTAGTATATTTGAGCGACAAATTCAAACAAATGTTTTCAGCAGATGGAACAGATATTTGAAAAATTTAATATAAACACCAATTAGAGCAACAAATTCAAATAAAATGTAAGTTAATAAGCAAACTGGCAACATGATATAGGTAAGCGTTAAGAACGATTTTAATGCTGTCTCTTGCAATTATACAGATTTATGAAGCAATGTTGCCAGTTTGTTGAATAAAATAAGAGCCTAATATCTTACCATTTGACCGCCGCCGAGTTACGTTGTCTCGTGCATCCAAATACTGTCTCGTATATATTGTGTAGTATAATATTCACTGTACTATACATTTATGACGATTTAATTTTGTTAATCGGAATATTTGAATTTGTCGTTTTTACTTCTCGTGTCGATTGACTTCAGTATTAATTTTCTCAAATTGCTATCCATTGAATTAAAAATAATTATTGAATTTGTCACCAGTTTGTTGTGCACCCAGAGAAAAACCTCGATCTATATAATAAATTCATTGTTCAATTTGATAAATATATCATTACTATTGAATGAATGATATATTTATCAATATGATATTTTTTTTTCTTGTCTTGAACAATAATTATTTATAAGAATAGTTATTTTGTTCGTATTAATAAAACATTATCATAAACCCTTGATAAAATTTCTCTTTCAATTTTGATTGAGGTTTTTCTTTGGGTGTGTATTTTAATTTATTGCTATAATATTTTTAAGCCCGGTATGACTATTTTTATCAATATATTCATTGTTCATTATAGACACTTTAATTTTGTACATCTGAATATTTTAATTTGTCACTCTTACTACTTAGCTCGTTTGATTGCAGTATTGATTTTCTTAAATACCTGTTGTTGTATTTATATATGGAACAATCTTTTTGTTCTAACTTATAGTTATAGTAGTTCAATAATAACGCAAAATGTAGTTAATAAAGATATAATCAATCAAAATAAAACATATAAAATATTGATACACTTAAAAACGGATAAATAAATAATACACAAAATAAAAACTTAATGTCACAAACGTACCACACGGAAAGAGATTACCTTCGGTCTCCCGAGGTCTTCTCTTTCTCTCACCTCTCTTCAATTCATTCCATTTCATCTTATATACTAACATATTTTGTTTTTCTTTTTATAAAATTCATATAGTAATCATTTTCAAAAATGTTTATAAATATTTACTTCCTGATAGTAACAATAATTTGGAAATTACAATTAATCTAAACATTACAAAAGTGTTTTACATCTAGGTTTACAAATAATAGACTATATTATATTTTTGTAATAATAGATCAAGAAATTCATAGTTAAACCAAACATTACAAAAATGCTTTGTTTTCAATTTTACAAAATAATACCTATATTACACTGTCCATCGAGTTAAAAATAATCAATAAATTTGTCGCCAATTCGTTGTTTAGTTTAAATTTATTATTCTACAATTGCTCTCTAAAATAAAATTATTATTTGGATATGACTATTTTTATAATTTTATGTTTCTCGGTCTCCTATTTTTACCCATTTAATTATAAAAATAGTAATAATTTCCGAAGTACTGTTCCGAAAATTATTTTTTTTTTATTTTTATCTTATAAGTTAAATATGTATGTTTCCATTTAAAAAAATTAAGTTGGTAGCCTTATAAGGGATAGAGGACAAACCTAAAAAATATTAACTTAAATATTGAAAATTGAAAGATAAATAGTACTCAACAAAAACAAAAATATATTTCTAAAATTATTATAACTTTAGGAAAAATTTAGTAGTCAATGATAAATCAATCACTCTTTAAATCTAATTAAACAAGACATTAACATTTTAACATTTAAAATTTCAAATTTTTGAGTTAATATACATGTATAATACACAAGGGATTATAAATACAGATAGCTAATTGGATTTTTATGACATTGCTGTCACAGTCACAAATTGTTTATTATCAATTATGACTATCAATAGATATACTTTCTCTATTGTCAGTTAGTGTATTTATAAACTCACAATAATGTGCCTTACTACCATTGATAATAACAATGCTGTATACCTGCTAATATTGAAGTCATAAAAAATCAATTAGCTACCTGTATTTGTAAACCCTTGTGTATTATACATGTATATTAACTCAAAAATTTGAAACTTTAAATGTTTATATTTAATAAACTAATAAAGTTATACTAAAAATTCAAATGCCATTTACTATTGAATTAAAAATCCAAACATTTTATTAAATTAGAAATATGTGTTCCCGTTTAAAAAAACAAAGTTGACACCCTTACAAGGCATAAGGGATGAACATAAAAACTTCTGTCTAATATAACAATTATGACTGCTGAAAATAGAATAAAAATGAATAGTTATTATGTAGTAAAAGTGGTGCTTATTATAATTTGTACCAAAAATTGACTACGACGACATAATAAATAGCATACATTTTATATATGTAATTTGTTTTCAATACTATTGGCGATAAATAACAAATATAAAAATAACTCAACCGGACGGTCTATTAATAGCAATAATTTTAGTATATTTGAAAGACAAATTCAAAAAATTGTTTTCAGCAGACGGAACAAATATTTTTATAACGGTAACAAATTCAAATAAAATGTAAGTTAATAAGCAAACTGGCAACATGTGATATTCATAAATGCTAAGAATGATTTCAATGCTCTATCCCTTTTAATAATAAACTTATGGAAAATGAAAGAATGCAACTGAGTAACTTTGGGTTATAATAGGATTCCTTCTATCTGACCATTTGGGAGCCAAGTCACGTTCTCTCATGCAGTGTAATAACTGAAATACATATTTATGACTCATTTATTTTGTTTTTCCAATATTTTGAATTTGTCGTTCTTACTACTTAGTTTGTTTGACTTCAGTATTAATTTTTTCAAATAGCTTTAAGTCGAATTCAAAATAATCAAAAATTTAATTATCAATTTAGTACTCTATAATTGTTCTCTTATAGTAATTGGATTTTATCGTTACACATATGCGGTCGCAAACTTTTACTCACCTGAGTATAAATATTTTAATAAGTTCCTAAGAACTGGTTCAAAAAATGATATTGATCAGCCATTTAATTAATTAAATAGTTGTAATCTCTTATAAGGTATTTAAAAAATTTACATTAGTGATAATAAATGGGTAGGGGGCAAATCTAAAACACATTTAACCACTTAGAAATTATTATTATATAAATTATAAAAAGTCAAAATATTGTCAAGATTATTATCATTTTAGGTGAAATTTAGTGGTCAATCACTGTAAATCTTATTGAATAATATGTTCAAATTTTTTTTAATAATATTTCAAGCAATTTTTTAATCAACTGTTTTATATATTTTTTTAAGTTTCCTTAAAACCCTCCGTCAAATCCATTCTGTATACAGGGACATTTTAAGGGTTTGTTAGAAGGGGCTATAAATTTATAGAGACAAATTTTAATAGTAAAGAGCAAAACTTACAAAATTTGTAGGTTGAGTTTTATTTTTTATATTGTCAACATTGGGAGTAGTTGTATAAAGTATGAATAAGGACCCCACCAAAACGGCCTCGGCCGTTTCCTCTTCCTAGGTAGATGGGCGGTGTAGATGGCCGGGAGGATATGGTGAAAGGCATATGGTCCCCTTCCCATGAAAGGTTAAGAGCATAATGGAGGGGGCAGTAAGTATCACAAGTATGGGGGGTTAATCTACATATGGGCGTACATAAGAAGAGGGACTATGGAAAAATGAATACTTTTTAGAAATTACTTATTAAATTGTAATTAATTATGAGTTAAAAATGTTTAAGTGCTGAAAGAATGAGGGTTAGTATACGGGGATATATGTTTTGCGATTCGCCGAAATTATAATTGATTTTATTACATTTAATGAGTATTTTCGCATAAAAGACGGATTATTACTCGAGTAAAATTAATAGTGTTGTGTCAGTTAAACGTCTTAAAAATGTTTTCTTGTGACAAGTGTGAAAAAGTGTACGTTGCCAAAAACTGTTTGATGAGGCATAGGAAAATCCATGATGGTATACGATTTAAGTGTTATTTATGCCCATCTACTTTTTCGGACAAATGCGGACTTGTACGCCATGTTCAAAAGATACATCGTAAGTATTACAATTATTATTCAATAAATAGTAATATTAAAAGAGAAAATATATATTATTATAGTGTTAATAGAAGTGTATTATTTTAGACCTCGTAAAGTATGGTGTGGACTATAATATTGCTATAGGAAATCATGCTGATTCGAGGGCTATGTCAACGAGTGGTAAGTAAAGAAAATATATTATTAAAAATTTATATGCTAAATTAAATGCATGAATATTTGTTTTAGAAAATGTAAATGATACGGAGAGAATGCAGGCGGGCCCCAGTGTAATTAGTCCTAAACGTCGCAAACAATGCAACACTGACAATACGATTAAATGGGTAAAGGTGAAACGATTACAAGAAATTATGACGAGCGGTTTTCATAAAATGAGTGAATCATTAAATAGTCAAATTTTATGGTTTTACAAAAAGAATATTGAAAATGTAGCCGAGTATCAATAGAAACCCATAAAATTATTGAAACAGTTTAATATTCAAACGACGCCTAAAATATATAAAGGTAATAAAAGCAGTAGGCCTGGGGAAGTACTCAATCGTGTCATGTATTACGTTACTGAAATGGCGTTAAAAATTGAAGAGTAGCTCAGGACGAACATTGATATTTGTATGACACATGAAGAAACTGAAGAACATATAATGAAAACCTGCTGTGACTTGTGTAAAGGTACTTTTACAGAGAAAAATCATTAAGTAGCAGACCATGATCATTTGACAGGTAAATCATACACATAACTGTGTTAAATATATTGTAATTAATATTAAACATATATATATATATTTATATTTGTTTCAGGTAGTTTTAGAAAAACGCTATGTAACAATTACAATTTAAAATTAACAACGCCCAAGTTTGTTAACGTATATTTTCATAATCTCAGCTCGTACGACGGACACCTTTTAGTTAAAGCCCTTGGAAGAGACACTAGTAGAATCAATGTAATACCCGCTACAGAAGAAAAATATATTTCTTTTTCAAAGTTTGTTTCAAACAATTTTTCGCTAAGGTTCATTGATACATTTCGTTTTATGGGTACTAGTTTAGCGGCTCTCGCTGAAAATTTGCGCGCCGCCGACATAAAATTATTCGAAGAAACCGCAAAAGCGTTTTCATCGGACGGCGACATTGATTTGGTGACCCATAAAGGCGTGTTCATACACCTCCAGCTGGAATGTACTCGAAAAAAAACAAATTGCCGTCAAAAGCCGAATTTTATAATAAACTGTCAGAAACACATATTGACGATGCCGAATACAAACACGCACAAAACGTTTGGCAACATTTCAATTGTAAAACGCTCGGTGAGTACTCTGATCTGTACCTGAAAACTGACGTAACAATACTTTCGGACGTTTTTACGAATTTTCGCAAGTTATGTCTACTAAAATATAAATTGGAACCGGCTGGTTTTATTTTACGAGTCCCGGTCTGTCTTTTGACGCTATGTTGCTGCATACGGTCGTTTCACTAGATCTCATGAGCGATTATGAACAGCAACTTTTTATTGAGAGAGGAATACGGGGAGGAACGACAACTTCGGTGTTGAAACATGCCATAGCCAACAATGAAAAGACGCCTCATTATGATATCAAACAACAAAAATCTGAAATTATATATTTGGATGTCAATAATTTGTATGGTTGGAGTATGTCTCAACATATGCCATGTGGTGACTTTAAGTGGTTAGACGTGGACGACGAAACAAAAATTTTAAAGACTGTGGAAGAGTTACCTGCGGATTCTCCTATAGGAATGGCCCTTGAAGTGACGGTGTCGTACCCGAAAGAGTTACATGATGCCCACAACGAAATGCCGTTTCTACCTGAACGAAAATGTCCGCCTAATTCACGGGTCAAAAAACTGTTGTCTACTTTCGATCGGAAAGAAAACTACGTTATACACTATTTAAATTTAAAACAGGCTATGGCAAACGGATTAAAAGTAGAAAAGGTAATTCATAAAATTATATTTTAAAAATATAATAATAACATGTCATTAAATTACAGGTGCATAAGGTGTTACAATTTAAGCAGTCGGCCTGGCTATCAAAATATATACAACTCAACACGGAGATGAGACAGAAAGCCAAAAATGATTTTGAAAAAGACTTTTTTAAATTAATGAACAACGCTGTTTTTGGTAAGTTTTAAAATTAAATAAAAATATATATAAACATAATTTTAATGCGATTTCGTTTGTTAACAGGTAAAATGATGGAACGTGTACAATTTAGAACGCAAATGGAATTGGTCAATAATCCTAAACGAGCGGCTAAATTAATTAGAAAGCATAATTTCAAACATTGTACAACGTACAGTGAAAATTTATCAGCGTTTGTATTGGAAAAGAAAATTATCGATTTTTGTAAACCAGTATACGTAGGTTTCGCAATTTTAGAAATTAGTAAAACTCTGGTATACGATTTCCATTATAACGTAATGAAGAAATATTTCAAAGACCGTGCTTGACTATTATACGGTGACACAGGTAGATTAATTAATATTTTTATTGAAAAAATTTTATTATTTTATTTTATGATTTTATTGTTTAGATTCATTAGTGTACTTATTGTGGATGATGACTTTTACGCGGTGGCAAAGAAAAATTCTGATCTAATGGCTAGACTTGACAGTAGGGTGAAATAGAGAGTTCTAGGCCCTCTCCGNCTTCAGGTTTGCCGAGCAGTCACCCGTGTTATTCAAACGCTAACAAGAAGGTGCCTGGTTTGTGGAGTGACGAAGCGCCGGGGAAATCTATATTGGAGTTTATTANCAAGCACCGGGGAAATATATATTGGAGTTTATTAGTCTCAGACCGAAATGTTATGGTTTTGATTTGGAAAGTAAAGAAAAAATTAAGGCGAAAGGGATACGTAGTCACGTTGTGAAAAATCATCTTACAGTCGAGGACCTGAAACGGTGTTTGTATGCTCAAGAGGAGTCTGCAGTAAGTGAAGCTCATGCAACAGCGACTACATATGGCACGATGGTTGTAAACAACATTCGTGATAGAGCCGTGGACCCATGTTGTCCTGTTGTAAAGTACCCGACTTATACACCGTACAGTGAAAATGTGTCAATCAGATCATTTCAACACCAAATATACACCATTAAGACTATGAAAATGACATTAAACCGTTTAGATGATAAGCGGTTTATATCAGAAGACCGTATTACTACCTACGCTTACGGTCATTATAAACTAGAGTACGTATACCATAATTAAGCTAATAATTATTANCAGAGTACGTGTACCATAATTAAGCTAATAATTATTAAATATATATTAAATAGTATTATTTTTTAGGAATAAAGACAAAATTGAAACTCAAGATTTGTAGTTGCAACTTATAAACTAATGTAAAAATAATAAACAGATTACAAAAAAGTAATGTATTGGTATAATGATTATAAAAAATTTAATGTTGAAATTATATTAATTAAAAAAAAAAAAATGATCTATAAATATATTTATATTATTCATTAAACGAAAATAAATAATCAAACAACATTATTACATAGTAATTATCGTCGTTATTGTCGATAGGTCTGACAAAACGTCGTATGATATTTTGCACGCCATTAAAATTTAACCAAATATTTAATCGTTTAAGGCAGTGTGCACATCTTTTAAAGTTAAATATTTCAAGCAAAGTGGTTTCATGTCTGAATATTTCTTTATGCGATGTGACGATTTCAATAGGACGGTCCATTACCTCTATCATTTCCGCACATTGACTATTAGTTGTGTTGTAAACAAAAATGTGAGTTGACACCGCTCTTCCGTCCATTACCATTCGGATGTTGACCTTTTTATAGTTGGCCCATACAAAATTTCTACTCCACCTATTCATTGAGAGTTTAACCTCCTCATAGGTGTAGCAAAAAAAAATTTGCACGGACCAAATCTCCCAGACGGTTGGGTTCTTCAAGCCGACCCAACAAATTTGATATTGGCCTAAACAAATGTCGTCTATAATACAACGCGGGTACTTTACTCGCTAGTTCACAATTCAACGTTATATTATAGACGTCATTGTACAGTCGTCTAACAAATCTGTCAGAATCGTTCTGAAGCAATTCTGTTAATTCCAACTCCCATGGTTGTAGCGAAAATGCATCTCTAAATGGAATCATCGTTGACCAACTGCATGGTAAGAGTTCTAGATCATGATCAGAATAGGTTTGTTCAGGTTCTGGTGATAAATCATCATGTAAAAATAAAAACAGCATTGTTAAGAAGTTTGTTTACAAAGTTAAATGCTAACATACATACCATCAGAATTCTCACTACTGTCTTCAATTTCTTCTTCTTCTTCCTTATATTCATCATCTTCTGCCTCCAAATAGTCTTCTTCCAATGGATCATAGTAATATCCGTCATCATGGACTCGTGGTTGTATCTGTCCGAATTGTTCGATAAACAACTCCCGTTCGTCTGCTTCAGCAAAATTTTCTGCTTCAGCGACAACACATTTACAAACAAAAATCGACTTGATTTGCATGATGATTGAAATGTTTCAACGTATAGGCACGATTAATACTATTGAAAATATTAAATTTTTAGAGCAGAGTATAGGGTATTTGTACGAAATACAAGCGTTGATGGCTTGTCATTACTATACCTGTGTATAGTCCTATACCTCTATACGCATAGTGGTACTAATAGTTTTTACTCTATCCTTTTTTTTTTCAGCACAATAATAATACTCAAATTAATTATGTATCAATTTTTAGGTAAATAAACAACAAACATGTTATATGTTACTTATAAGTTTTATTTTAAAAATATCATACAATTTGATTATGTTATTTAATTATAGTGTAATTTGAACGTTTATGTAAACATTTATTATTAACCTTGTAATTATTATTATTATTATGAAATAAACATATTATATACAAATAACAACACTTTTTTTTTTATTTTAGATTATAAGTTTATTATAAGAAACTAGTACAATATATAAAGTTATTGTTCATAAATTATTAATGTAGGTTAATTTTCTGACATGATTGGGTTTCGGCCATTGTGAAGCCCATGGACTATAACTATTTTCTCGGGTAAACACTGTTGTATTGACAAATGATGGTCCGTCGTTTTTGTCATACATTTCTTCTTTTTCCTAAAACAAATTATAAATTTAATGACAATCTATGTTTATTAAACTCACATTAATTTGAAGCGTACCTTCGGACCATGACTTGACCCAACGATCAACTATTACATTGTATGCTAAATTCTTCAACTCGCTTATGTAATTACTGTCACCTTTAGGAATAGTATCGCATATTTCTTTGTCGTTCAAACTTCTTATAAAATTAACCATTTCATCGTTGTTTGATTGTTAAATTTTAGGGCTCAACCATTTACCGTCGGAGTATTGTATGATGCGGTCTATATGATGGCATAATAATAAACGTGTTTTTATTTTTCTTGATATTGTACTGTTAATAGTACACTGTAAGTCCATAAGTCTATTAATGTTTTCGTTATTCAATAACACTCGACACCCATCCACCATCCTGGATTCTAATACATTTAGTATTAGAATACCATAGTGCATGGTATCACGGTACAATACTTTGGTTATATTAAAATCGACATTTTAGTATAACACAATGTTCTCTCTTTTTACCAGAGGTGATTGTAGAAATAATGTTATTTCATCCATCATGACGTAAATAATATTTAAATAGTCTGCTGATATACTAATATATCGTGAAGGAATAATAATGCATACCGTAACATTGAAGTCATCCTTTGGATTCAGACCCACTTGCAAACATTTTCTGTCGCTGAACGCAATAGTGTAACTGCTAGAGTCAATCATCTCAGCTGGCGGTGTTGGTGCGATATAAATGTAGCGCTGTTTTCTTACATATTCGGCAGCCATTTTGTTCATAGAGTAGAGTCTTCTTCTTAGAGCTGATGGTTCTTGATGACACTGTGACTTTATCAACGATTTCACGATCATTTATGCGGAAAAATCACATATTTTCATAGGGGTCAGCAAATCACAGATCACATATACCCGTAAACAAACCCATTCCTTCACCACTTAACATTTTTAACTCATAATTACTTACAATTTAATAAGTAATTTCTAAAAAGTATTCATTTTTTTATAGCCCCCTTCTTATGTACCTCCACATGTAGATTAACCCCCATACTTGTGATATCATCTGTCCCCTCCATTATACTCTTAACCTTTTATGGAAAGGGGGCCATTGCCTTTCACCTTATCCCCCGGCCCGTTTTGGGGGGTCCTTATTCATACTTTATACAACTACTATTGGGTTAAGTTTAAATAGTTTAATTATTACTGTAGAATACAAATATTTTAGTTTTAAAATTTTAAGTCAAAAATTTTAAGCGTGGGTATCATAATTAGTGTCATAATATGGTATATTTCTAGTAGATCTCAGGTAAGCTTAAAATTTTTTAATTTTTTTTCAGTTTGACTGATATTTATGTATATTATAAGTAGAATAAAATTATTCAATAATTAAACACCTTTTTTTAAAAATAAAGTTTAAGCTAAAATATGATTTTCTTGAAAATTTTTAACGATTGATGATCAATAAATACTTTTCAGTTATTTTTTTTTATCAAACAATTCATTAATACTAAATATAATAAATAAAATAAAAATACTATTTTATGTTATAATAAAATTACACATCAGTATCAATTTAACTAAAAATTATGAAAAATCAGCAAACCTGTGAAGTCACAGGTTTACTCGATTTTAATAATAATATTATTTTTAAGACAAAAACTGAATGTTTTTTGGAGTATTTTTGGTCAAAATACTAAAAACACGTTAGGCAACCAGTTAACATTTTTTTAAAAATCAAATCTTCACAAAATGCCTATTTTAATGTAATATAATATGGTTAAAATAATTCTCATTAAAATTTTAATGATCAATTTATTGATCCACTCAAATTTTAAAATAATTTTAAAACATATTTTGTTACATGAAAAAAAAAGTAAGAGAAGAAAAATTGTATATATCCATTCCAAAAAAGGTAACAACAAATTTGTAGATAATTTTAATTTTAAAAATTGATGGATTATTCTAAAAGCGTAAACATTTATTATAACAATTAAATATAGTATGAAATTGATATTAAATAATTTAGTATTGTAATGTTAACAAAAAAATTATAAGAAATTTTAATGTAGTAATTACTTTTATTGCAAACCTACGCATATAATAAAAAAAATTCTGATATTAATTTTTGAGAATTTTCGGAATATTTTTTAAATCCTAAAAAGTTTATCATATAAAAATTGTACTAGTATTTCTGGTTTAAAAATATTTTTCATAGCTACTATGTATATATTTATAAATATGTAGATTTTCACACAAAAATCAGTTACAAATTACGTAAAATAATAATCAATAATTTTTAGTACAAAATGGCTAAAATTTTTGGACGAATAATGAGAATTGCCAAGAAGAAATTTGGCTTAAGAAAAAAATCCAAAGGTAATTCTATGCACATTTGAATGTTTGCTAAATTTATTTCCTCTATTTATGATTAATTCTTACGTGTTATTCTAATTTTGATTTAAGTTATCATTGATTTTTATTTTATTTAGTCATCTCAGTAGATTGTGGATCACAAACTAATACAATGGCAGAAGAAATTGTCGCTCCAATAAAATCCGTTACAGAAATAAATATTTTAGAGTCTCAGATTAAGGAAGTAGCAGACATAGCAGTTCAGACGTCTTTATTTACCTCTGACAAACTTACTCAGACAAATAATAAACTTATGTATAATTTGTCTGAGACACAAACAGAAATGTCGTTGTTTAATTCGTTAAGTTGTGAAACACAAACTGACGTCTCGATAGAAAATCTTATTTTAAATACAAAATCTTTGGACGAGCCTCATAATTCAAATTCAAAATTAATAAATTATATGCACACTGGTTCTCAGTGTTCCCTCTTATCTACTAAAAATGAGCCTCTTTTAAAAGGTATGTTTAATTTAACCACTGAAGGTAAATTTGAACAAGATTCTAAAAAAAATATCACATTAGTTAATGAATTTAGAGAGCATGATTTGCAGTCATGTACTTTGTCGCCTTTAGAAGCACCTATTAAAGGTATGATTACTTTACAATTGAATGAACATTTTTTAATTAGTAATTTAAAAATTGATATACAGGAAACAATTTTTTTTTCTTTGAAGTTGTGACAATAATTATTTATTTCGTCATAAATTATATAGCTTGTTATAAATCATCATTTTTAAAATAGGAATTACTAGTTTAGTTTTATATAAAAATTAAAAAAAAAATTTTTGTTGTTCTTAATTCGTGAAATATTAGTTTTAAAAAAGAACCTTTAACTTTACTTTAATTTTGATTAATTTAAAGCCATTAAATGTTTTGTCATGAATCAATATAACTAGACGTTCTAAATTTCTGGGAGTTTGTTCTTTATAAATATACATTATTTAAATAGGTTAAAAGAATTAGTTAAAATGTATTAAAAAATGACAATGTTCAATTTATAAGTAAGAGGACAAATTATTATTTTTAGTTATTTTATTTAGTTAATAATTGCGTTGAGGATGGAATTAATCCTTCAACAACACTCAATGACACTCAAGAAAAAATTGAACGGTGTGTTACAAAAAGTCAAATAACAGCTGAAGGTAAATTTGAACAATAATTTGTAATTTTTAGTAATTAAAAATAAAGAATAAATTTAAATAGAGACGCTAAATATCTAGGCATTTATTATTTTTAAATATTCTTATTGTTATATTTAATGATATTAAAAATTGTTGTATGTAAAAGATAAAAATAATTTAAATTATTTTAAATTAATTAATAGGTAAAACAAATATTTTTATCTACATTTTAGTTGATGCGACATATGATTTGTCAATTGCTGAAGTGGAATTTAATAAAAAAAACTCGGTAATTAGAAATCATATATTCAATTTTTTTTCTGGTTAACTAATACTGAACACTTTAGTTCTTTATGTTAGACTCTTATTATCAAGCATAGTTTTTCAGAGAGAACTTAAATAAATGAAGTCATAATAATAAATAAATAATATTAATAATACTATTNAATAAATGAAGTCATAATAATAAATAAATAATATTAATAATACTATTTAATAGAATGAAGTTTTAGTCAACAAACAAAACGTACATCAGGTCGAAAATCGTCTACAATTCTATACTCTTGATAATGTTCCTAAGCTTCAATTAAGAAATAATTATGTATATAGTATGAGAGTGCTGTATTGTCAAACAGATTATATTTGCATGACAAAAGCAAAAAATGAACAAAAAATACGATTTATAGAAAACAATATGAATGCACATTATAAGCAGACACAAGATTGTAATTTTAAACCACGACATGATGAGCTTTGTGCCGTTAAATATAGTAATCAACAATTATAATTATTAAAATAATATGAAGACAAGTAAAATTTATACGATGTATAATAGATATTTAATTAATCAACTTTATGAATTTAATAGTATATTTTTTCTTTCATATGAGAGCATCATAACTCATAACATTCAAACATTGTCTTTAATAGAAAAATGTCCATTATTTTCTTGTTAATATCTCTATTACTTTAATTTAGGTGATGGTAGTTGGTATAGAGGAGTTTGTATTGATATTGAAAATAGTGTGGATAGAAGTCAATTTTACATTATTAATTTAATTGATTGGGGAGAATCGGTTTCTGTACCATCTTCTGAACTGCGTAGATTGGAAATGTTTTATATGAAACACGCGCCTTTGGCAGTCAAATGCATCATATTGGGTACCTACGAAATTATTAGTTTATTTGTTGAAAACTTAACAATTTTTTTAATTTAGATTTCAAATTATCCAACGCACATCAAAAAAATCTGCGTAAACTGGAGAATAATGAATATAAATGCAAAATTAATTTAAGACTTAGCCCCCGAAACTTTTTAATATCTTCAAAAACAATTCTGGACATATTACGTAATCGATAAGATAATTGTTATTTTCTTATACATTATATTTTTTTGTTCAGTAGTCAATTAATTTACTTAACTTGTGTTTAAATAAATTGTTTACTGTTTTCATTATATAATTAAAAAATAATATTTACTTAGTTTGTTCGAGATAAATTTGTATAATTAAAATAATTTTCTATTTACCAAATCCGTTTCCTTTAAATAATTAGTTTGAGATCTTGAAAATTACAAATTAACAGATACTATAGATTAATGACAAAACTTTGTATTTAGAGTTTACTAGGGCTACAAGTATTATAATAAAAAACGTAAAATAAAAATGTTAGTTAATTTATTTGATAAAATTTTGAAAATGAATATTTTCAATGATAACAAATTACAAATTTAATGAAACGTTTACATATATTAAAACTATATAAATTGTTATTACTTTAAATAAAAATTAATGCAGTATTGATATCACTATAAAAGTATAAAAACAAAGTAGAGCTTTAAAGTATAATTATATAGTTATTGATATTATAAAATATTGGTCAATATATGAAATGTTACATGTTGTTGACTTTAAACCTATAATTTTCTCAAGATGTAGTTAAAATAGTTTTTTATTTTTTTTAACCCGGCTTAGCTTATACGTATAGCTATAATTTCAATGTATTAAAATTGATTTCTGGAATTACGTTAAAATATTTTGTACTGTTAAAATCATAACAGTCATACTCATTTTAATTCGAATTTTTACTGTAGTATTACAACTATTGAGGTTTATTTCACAACATTCTTTTGCGCTTAGTTACAAAATTTTTATGATATATCATCAACATTATACAAAAGCAATATGTGGTTTAGACAACATTTTTCATTTATATTTATATTTCTTCCAATGTGTTTGCGGTCATTCATTTATATACAAACGGTGAGACCTATTGAACTAAAAAAAAAATACTATTGGGCTTTTAGTTTTTTTAAGAGTATTGTTGCATTTAATTATTCTCCACCATGGTAACATGATATATAATAAAAGAATACCACAAAAACTAAATTATTTCATATAAGATATATAATGTATATATATACACACATGATTTATTAACTTATTAAATTAATCTAACACCACTATGGCCAATGTTCGCCCATAATTTCCACATAATAACACAGACTTATTTTAAATATAATATTCAGATAATCATGTATTGACACTGAAATTCTTCATAGCATAGTTATTTATGCATAGCATTTTGGAGTTAATTTGAAAAAGTTGCACTGGACACCTTTAAAAAGCACTCTTTTATCATTTCTGCATAAATAAAACTATTGTGATATATTTGACCCAAAAATATTTGACCAAAAATTGTATAACAAAGGGATTTTTTTGTTTTTTAAGTATTTTTGGTCAAAATTAGAACAACCTTTCATTATAAAAAAATTCAAATAATATAAATACTTTATAATATATGACAAGAATAATCTAAAAAGTCTGAATTATTTTCATAAACTCATTTATTTTAACAACATAAAAAAGAATTGATGAGATAAAACCTTAAAAATAACCAACTAAATAAAGTAATTGTTTTTTTTAATCAATTTTTGTTTTTATTATTAAAAACTTATAAAAAATTAATTTAGATTAAGTCATGAAACTCTCCATTTCATTTAATAAATTAATATTTTGGACTTAGATTTTTTATTTTGATGTTATATATCAATCCATAAAATATCAATTGATTGTAACATAATGACCTTCCAATTTCAGTGAAGGCATGTATTATAATTCAATAAATACGACCCAAGTAAGTAATATTATTACTTCTATTGGGTTCTTGATTAAGTTCCATAAATCCCATTTTTGTGTAAATTTCTATAGTTTGACAATCCTTTGACCTTAGTGGAAGATGTACACCAAATGATCCTATTTAAAAAAAATATTTTATGAATATTTCAAGTTATATATCATAAGTAATTTAAATTCATGTTTTAAATTGGCAATAATTGAAAAAATGGTAAGTGTTATCAAAAGGCAAAAAATCCATTTCAAAAAATAAAAAAGGTCAAACAAATTTGATTGGTGAAACTAAAGTTTTTTTTTCAAATTTTAAGAAAAAAATTGACACATTAAAATCAAATACATTTTTGGAGCACTTACTTTTTTTAAGTTAAATTTTTCTTTTATATAAATTTTTCTATGTATGTTAATATATGTATATCACTCAAGGCTTTTATTAAGTAATGTTAGCAAGAAAATCATTATATCATATCACTAAATTTTTAACTAAGAGATAAACTTATTTGATTATATTAAGTTCATGTTAGTATTTTTTTAATAAAGAAAATATCTAAATTTAGTCCTACATCAATATCACAATTTTTGATAGAATATCATTCCAATTTTCAATATAAAATTATATATTGTTGTTAGTTAATTATAGATTTACATTATTATAGAGAATTTTCCATAGAACAAATATTAGCTTAATGAGTGTGACACCAAAATATAAATTAATAAATAATTTTAAAAGATGAAAAATTCTTAACTGGTTATTCACTGATGAAATCACTCTAATTTGTATTTTAAAAATCACTGGTTTTTACTCTATAAATAAGTAAAGTACGATTAATAAGAAAAAATATTGTAATTAGGTAAAAATTTAATGTGTGAACATAGAGACTATGAGGGTGAAATATAAATCTGAAAACATTTTGTTAATATATATTAAATTGGATCTAAAATTTAAAGCTAATGTAATAACTGTATTAGACAGTCATTAATTTTCCTATTTAAGAACCACTAAAAAAAAAAAAACATATATAGAGTGATTGATTTATTGTTGGTCACTAGTTTTCTTCTAAAATAATAAACATTTTGACAAATTTTTTTGCATAGTATATATTACTATGTATTTTCTAATTTATAAGTTGTTAAATATTTTTAGGCTCATCTCTATAAGGGTAAAAACATTATTTTTTTAAATGGCAACATACATATTTTACTAGTTTATATATTAGAAAATAATTGTTCTATAATAAACTTTTGGGAGTTTTGAACATTTTTATATGTGGGTGGGAGGAGGAAGTAAACATTTTGATATATAATGATGGGAATAACATAACCCCACCTCACCTTCAGTCAACATTTGAAAATGGTTATAATTTTCAAAAAATATTGGTTAAGAAGTAATTATTTTCCTTGTTTGATCATTTTCTAAAATTTAATCAATTAAAATATTTATATTACCATATGAGAAAAATAGTTAGTACCTTTGTAAGAGTAGGGATAGGTCTTAATTTTTAGCTTCGATGCGAAGGTATTAATTTTACTATGATGTGTTTTTTTTTTTTTTTGTGTCTGTTACCACTTTTTCTCAGCTCTCACCAAACCGATTTGTTTTAATGATACGTCAAAAGATAAAAAATCTTATCTAGTCGAAGACATTACCCTAAAAATTGAAAAAATTTCCCTCGTTCCCTGTAAATGGGGGAAACCTTCAAAAAAATTATAAATTTAAAAATCGCTAATTTTCGAAATTTTTTCAATTTATTTTACTTAAAACTGCCACAACTTTTTCAAAAATGAACAAATCAATATAATTTTTTTTTTTTTAGACGCTTGATGTTTTTACCTATCATTTGGTATATATTTTTATAAATTTAACCCTTTATCAGCTCACAGGGGAGATTCAAAATGACAACTTTTTCACAAAAAATTAACTTTTTCGACTTAAATTTTGAAAGTGTTCCAGAAATACTAACACTTTTATATATATCTCAAATTAAAGCTAATGTAATGTACTTTATTATGGAAAAAAAAATGTCGGACTTTATTTTGTCTTCACGGTGAAAATGGCTACCATATGCTATTTTTGTGTTAAAATTCTGGATTTTATATTTTACATTTTTTACTTTAAAATGCTATAACTTTTTAAAAAATGTATGGATGAATACAATTATTTTATGAGAAATAGTATTTATATACATCTTTCATTCGACATACTTTTTTTTTAAATCGGACCATTTCTCTTAATACAGGAGAGGTTCAAAACATAAAAATGCATATAGAAAGTAGAACTTTTACACTTCATTTTTGAAAGCTTTTTTGTGAAAATTCTCGATTTTATTTTTTACATTTTTAACTTAATAATGCTATAACTTATTGAAAAGTGTATGAATCAACACAATTTTTATACGAGAAATAATATTTTTTAATAATCCCTTTTTCATTCGACATACTATATCTTAATCAAGATATTAATAAGGAACTAGCAGATCATGTAGCTTTTGGAATAATCCACCAATTTTTTAAAATTAAACACTATCTAAAGATTTGCATCAAAGCGTTTTTTTTTGATAGTGATTTTAATCACTGTCAGATATCATTATAATTGATCCATCTATACCACGTCACCACTGTGCCGCGACTCCTCTGTGCTGTGTTGGGTTTTTAACTTTATAATGCTATGACATATGGAAAAGTGTATGGATCAACATTATTTTTTTATGAGAAATAATATTTTTTAATAATCCCTTTTTCATTCGACATACTTTATCTTAATTAGGATATTAATAATGAACTAGCAGATCATGTAGATTTTGGAATAATCCACCAATTTTTTAAATTTAAACACTATCTATAGATTTGCATTAAAGCGTTTTTTTTATAGTGATTTTAATCACTGTCAGATATCATTATACTTGATCCAACTATGCCACATTACCACTGTGCCACGACCCCCTTGTACTGGGTTTTTTTTTTATAAATAATAAATCAATAAATAAATAAAATTAAAATATACAAAAGTTATTTGATTTTACATGTGTTTGGGATTCTGGTATAAATATATATTACATACAATAAAACATTTGAACACAATATTTTTTTTTTTTATTTGATATTTGTATACATACCATTAGCTCTTAATGCTGCCAAAAGACAAATAATTAGTCTTTTTGAAACTGACGAATCATTGTTTACAGGTAATATAGAATATGACATAACTGATTTATGTTGAGATAAAGCAGATGTATCTGGTAATTCATTATCAACATCAAATGTATGGAACCAATTTATAATTTCCTGTAATAAAATTTAAAAGATAAAAAATGTTGTAGAAAATTAAAAATTAGGGGAAAAAATTGAAGA